TCATCACACTGGCTGTCCAACTTTTATTTTCTACATGTTGATTTTATTTCAACACTCTCAGAAAGCCCCAACCATGTGATATCTTATTTCTGTAGTACAGAGTCAGGACTCCAACCTCAGTTTTTCCTTCTGGTTCCTTGAATAAATTGATGCCTTACCTTATTCTTCAAATTATCTACAATACTTAAAGGCTAGTGTCTGGGATTCTTAAAAGTATTATAGTAAAACATGCAATGTTCCATAATAAGGAAACAGAACTTAGTATTGTGAGCTTAGTACTGTGAGCAAAATCTAAATCAGATGTGAAGCCTACCTAATTTAATCTCTCATTATCAGCGCTCAGTACATTAAAAGTCAACATCTACTCTGAGCAAGCTTGATCATTTGCCACTGCCACCTTTCTCCCAGCGTGAACTTTCCCTCTTGATGTGGATAACCAATCCCTAATGTTCAAGCTTTGCTAACTTATCACAGAATGCTGAAGTGATGGTTGTATTGTAAATAGCTTACTAGAAATAGATAAGGCAAATTAACTACAGTATTTCACTGAACACCTCTTATTCTGTACAAGTTAATACTTATACCTCTCCTAAACACTGTCACAATGTGCTTTACAAAACCAAGATCAGCAGCCTAGAAGCTCTACTATAGAGTAAAATAAGGCAACAAAGATAAGAGGTTATAGCCTAATATGTTCTACAGAGAGCTGACCCACTGAAATTAATGCACCAAAGTTAGTCATCTCTCTGTTTTGAGTATGACTAATGTTGACTAAAACCAAGGCTACTTATGATATTCATTCTTCATCTAGGAAAGGCAAATTAATATGCATACCAATTTATATAGCACTTTTTGGTATGTGAAGACTGAAATTCTACACACACTTTAGCTGGAAGTAACTCATTAAACTGTCCAAATTACTTCTGAATAGATATGTATAGGATTATAGTGTAAGTGGTTACAATCTTCACAGTGTGGTAATTCCCACCTAGTTCAAAGGGGTTTACACTCAGTTATGTGGGTATAGGATTGCAGTCTCAATACATATTTATACATACACACAAACACATACAAATGACTCTTACTTTTTCCAAAAATAGTAGAACTAACTAGTCCTAAAATTGAAGGGAAAAGAAGACTCCAAAGACGATGTGTGAAAATGATCAGTTCAACAAGATGGACTTGCTGGGGGGGGGGAGTAGTTCACCAAAAACTATGCTGTATTTGTTTCAGGTGAAAGGAACTAGCAGTCCATTTCTTAGTTTAGTCCAGAAAGAACCAAGCTGAGAAAAGTCACGTGGCTTGCTTCCTTGAAAACGTTAGTTTTTCTAAGTACTGTACTACATCCCTTCTTTGTTACCTCAAAATAGAAGTTCATTTTAAAATTGCCTCTCTAGGTCCTCCTTGCTGCACCTTTGTCTTCCACACTACCCTTTCTGAAATCATACATTAAGCATTAAAACACAATTTACAATAATTGGGGGAAAGAGTGAGGCTCCACGGATTTACCAAGCTGCGCGCACACATTCATCCATTTCTAGTCCTGTCTCTGCCTCTTCATCAGTTATTGTCCTCCCCATTATCTGTTCTAGACTGCAAGATTCTTCAGGGCAGGAGCTGGGGCCTATCTACATTTTTGCTTATGGAACTCAGTAAACTAAAATATACTCCAGTGGTGCTCTCTGAGCAAAATAACAAATACATTTTCAAAACTTCACAATATTATTTTCTATATGTTCTTGATAAGGTGGGGTGTACTTTTTTCCTCTACTGCTTTTTACAGATGCCAGAGCACTTTCTGACCATAAATATAGTAAGGATGCAGTCCTATGCATTTTGCTAGGGATTAAGTGAATGTGCATAGGACCACACTGCACACAGAGAAATAGCTTAATTTTGCCACTTCCAATTTACACAAGCAACTTAGTCAACAATTAATATTTCCCCTGGCATACACTGCATACATTGAAGGCTCCACATAACTTTCTCTGAACTTAAAATACTCCATAGACTCTGTTGTAGAGAGCTTCTGCCAGGAACAATTTGTTTCCCCACCTTAATCCTGGTTAATTTAGCAGCTGATAGCATGCAATAGATTTGCATCTGAAAGACGGAAGTTCAAGCCCCTGCTCAGTCATGAAGCCTACTGGGTGGCCTTGGATAAGTCAGTATCTCTCAGTAACAACCTAACTGCAGGACTGTTGTGATGAGAAAAGATAAAAAGATGAACTGTAATCCACCCTGGGCCTCAAGGATAGGGTGGGGGAAGTCTGCAAGAATAACTAAGAACAAGTCTCCTAGGATGTGCCCAAAATCTTGTGGCTGTTTTTCACTGTAAAGGACGTGCTAGAATTATTTTTATCCTTCATGTATTGTCCTCAGGCAATTAGTTATAATACTTTGCTATGCATCTTCCTCCACGCCTACTTATTCTAATAGCTTCAGGCCACAAGCCTTTAGAAAACACTGATCCACCAAGCCCCATTACCAGACACCTTAAAACTAGTGTAGAAAAAATTCCAACAGCTTAGCAAAGTGTTGGGTTTTCATTGCAGCTGCTTCCCCTCCTCCAGTCCTACATGATGCGCCCAATACTTGATTCCTTCGTTTATATAGCGATCTAATTATTTTAAAAAAACACCCAAACACAAGCAGGCCTTAAGCAACCTCGAGCCTGTGCGATAGGGAGACAGCGCGAGACTCCATGACAGGATTGTGCCATGCAGTGCGATTCTGCTGTGTTTTTAAGAATGGGTCCCGTCAACCTAGTTTTAGGAATGCATCCACAGGGGACGCAATACCTAACAAAGCAGAACCATCCCAGCCTCCGCGGAGGGAACCACTCCCCCCCCTTTCTCCACCAAGGCCCTCCATTCCACCCCAAATTCCCATAGATTCACGCGCTCCCTTGCACGCCCAGGCAAGCCCCTGAACCCACATCTTCCGCCGAAACCCCAACGTTATCCAATCCAGTGAAGCAAGCGCCCATAACGTAACAAAACAAAACAACCTCTGCCTTGCAGGGTTCCTTTCCCCCTTTTTCTTTTATGACAACAGGAGACGTCTGTAACCAAGGCACCTCACAAAGACAACCCCCCTCCCTCGCCGGAGACTCCCAAGATCCCCACCCCATAAACACACACACACACCTGGAACCACCAAAACCCCCCACCGCGGGCGCGCACACCCCACAAATTTCAGCATTTCAGCTCCGCAGCCCCCCCCCCGCGCGCTTTGCCACCTTTCGCGATACCCACCGCGCCAGCTGAAGGCGGCAGCGGCTCCAGCACCTCCTCGCGGGGCCCGCAGCCAGGCAGTTGTGCTCCCCCCTTTCTCTCTCGCGCCCCCCACCCCCGATTCTGAACAGCACCGAGACCACCCACCCGCCGTGTGTGTGGGGAGACCGCGTTCCTGGGCTCCCCCGACACGCCAGCATCCACCGGCCCTCCCTGGTCCAGCTGCCGCCCCCAACCCGGCGGCCAGGGCTCCCAGCCCCACCACCACCACCCCGCCAGGAGCCTCTGCTCCCCCTTCGGTCGGGAGTGGATCGACCTGCTCAGGACAAACCACCCAACTCACAAGGGGGGCGGTGGAGCCCCATAGATCAGCTGCGACCCACAGGGGAATTTCAGGAAGGGGCTCGCCTCTCCACAACCACCCACTACGAACCCCTCTTGCAGCAAGGCAGGGACTTGGCTTTCTGTCGTCCTGGGTTGCCCCAACGCTAGCCTCCTCTTCTCCCCCTTCTACGGACCGTACCAAGTGGCAAAGCATGACGGGATATGTAGTTCGAAGTGAGGCTCTGGGAGAATAGCGTTTTACCCCTTACTCTGGCTCATTCCTTCTATGGCCCAGAGGCATTTTCCACTTCTTAATTTAAGCCAGCCTTGGTTACAGAATAAATACCTTTCAGCGAGAGGGCTCCGCCTCATGAAATGTGAAATATATTGTTACTAAACATATATATATACCCTAATGATGTCAAGAGTCCCTTTCTTTCTCCACCTGAGCTCTTTATTAGCCAACCTGGCCAGCCACCTGAAACTGAGCGACGCTTCTGGGGCCACTGCTTGCATTGAGCCCTGGCCCCTCATAACACAAGCAGTATTTCTGGTACTACTAGACCTAAGTATGCCTGAACAACTTTTGGCAAAGTTTGACAGGTTGTAGCTGCAGAAGATCAACTGATAAAACCTATGAAACATGTTTTGTGCCCTGATTCATAAGCTGCGACACATATAGAGGAGAGAATGGCATATACTGAGAGAGTGACCAGCTGGAGGTGCATAATCAGAAAAGTAAAGGTCATTTTTTCGTAACCAAGCCACACTCATGACTAAATGATAAATGAATAGGGGCAGTCATATACTTAGGTCACAAGCAGGCATGTGTAACCTGTGGCTCATGAGATGCTGCTGGACTCCCAGCTCCAAGCAGCTTGGGCAATGGTCAGAGACGAACAATATATGAGGAGCCACAAGGTTTCCATCCCTACTCTACAGCTTTTCCCTGCTGTGGGGCAGGGGGGAAGCAGGTAGCGCTTTGTGGTGCACTTTTTCCCATTTTAAACAGAGAGAGGCCAAGGTTTATGCATTTGATAGGACCCCCTCCAAAAAAAACCAAACAAAAAAACAACCCTTAGTCCCTTACTAAGCTTCATGCTTATGAATTCTCTACCTCCAACCCAAGGTTTGGGGATGATGTTCTCACCTAAGCAACAGAAGGATCTTAACTGAGAACAAATACAAAGGAGGCTTTCCTCACACCACTGTACTTGTGAGAGCCAGTGTGGTGTAGTGGTTAAGAGCGGTAGTCTCGTAATCTGGTGAACCGGGTTCGCGTCTCCGCTCCTCCGCATGCAGCTGCTGGGTGACCTTGGGCCAGTCACACTTCTTTGAAGTCTCTCAGCCTCACTCACCACACAGAGCGTTTGTTGTGGGGGAGGAAGGGAAAAGAGAATGTTAACCACTTTGAGACTCCTTAAAGGGAGTGAAAGGCGGGATATCAAATCCAAACTCTTCTTCTTCTCTTCTTGTGTCAAGTAGATCTAAACAAGCCAGGCCAATGAGGAACTCACTGATAAGCTGATCCTGGGTGCTTACCTTCTAAAGTAATTCATGCTCAAACTTTTCATCTTTGGTTATCATCTCCCCCCTTTTCCCCTCCAATGCAAGGTACTGTCACCAAGTATTCCACTTCTGGAACATACTTTACTGACTTTACATCCTCCACCCATGCTTCAACAATAGAAATGTCAATGATACAAACAGGGCTTCTTCAAAGTAAGTGGGTGAAGCAGAGGCAGTAACAAGTGCTCTCTGTGTGAAAACTGCATAGAGCAAATTACTCAAGAATGGAAATAGATTAATGTATTACAAAATATTGCAGCAATCTAGAGAAGCAAGAGTTGGCCACAGTGGAAAAAAGCTTGAAGATAAGCTCAGGTTCCCACTCTCCACTTCTTATTTTATTTTAAAGATGCTGCCTCTTCTAGGGCATCAGGTGCTTTGGGTTTCCAGAAGATATGATTCACACCCAGAAGCAGTATGGATGATCTTCTGTATCTTCCATAAAGTTATCATCATGACGCAGCAAAGCAGAAGAATGGTCAGAAGATGACAAACCAGCAAACTAAAACCAGAAGAGACAGTGTTAAATGAGTAGTCTAATAAAATGAGATTTCGTAATAACAAACCTTCCCCCCCCTTTAAAGTTATTTTCCCCACCCCATCTGTCATTGAATCGCACATGAACATCTAGAACTGTACAGTTTATGTTTCTTTTTCTAAAAAAAAAAATAACCACCAAGTTTATTTGTAGTTTATCAGTAAAACAGAACAGTTGCACTTATTGGATAGGAAGAAGAAATGTAAATTCCATCTTAACTATAACTTCATATAAGTGTATCAGTCCATAAATGGTTGTCTAATCCATCCTTCCTTGAGAGTGCATGACATAAAGCCAAACCGTTTTTTTCTTAAAAGTGTCCTTTTTTCTTGTTACTCCTGCGTTCTCTCATTCTGTTAGTTAACTTGTCCATTAGGGCTAATTCCCACAGCTGTGCCAGTCACATTTCATGTTCAATGTCCTCCAGTTTTTAGCTGCTGTCATAAGCTGTATAGTAAGTTCTTTAAAAGGTAAGCCATCAGTTATAAGGCTATCAGGTGCTATAGCTATTTGTTGTTTGGTTGTGAAAGACCAGTTCCCAAAAGGAGGACACTAAGGAGCCTATCTATCATATGTGGAAAAAGGAGGCTGGCCACAGGTCCTGCAGCAGGTAGCTGGGCAAGTTGCATTTATTAGCAGTGAAGAATACATGCACCACCAGTAAGTTAATTTGAGGGCCTTTTAGTGAACTCTAGCGGAGGAAGAGCAATTGGAGAACATGTCCAATATTTTATTCCAAGAGATCTTGTCTACAGAGTCACCAATAATCTCTCATTCCCAAAGGGTTTTCAACGGTAGTGAAGATTTTGTACAGAACTGTGATAGAGAACTTGTAGTTTAAGGAAATTATGCTTTCCCCCAAAGCCTATGGATGATTTTTGTAATACAAGTCAAAATATTTTGTTCTTTTAACCAGTGCTTTTTTCCAAAAAAATGTTTAGGGGTACTTCATTTTCCTCCTCATATTGAAATACTGCCCCTCATTGAGGCCAAACTTAGATTCACAAAATGATTAGGGATATGCATCCCCCCAGGGGGGAAAAAGCACTGTTTTTAACTATGGCAAAATAAAGCTATAAGGAGCACAACTGAATAATGTTAAATACCTGCCCATGCAAGGCTTCTTTACAAAGTTTTTCCAGGGTCCCTTGGGCAACAAGCCAGTCATTTGAAAGAGCAGGCAGAGGACCCACCAGCTCCTGCCTTGCAAGCAAACAGAATTTCATTCACACTGAACCAGGCAGCAGATAGCATTAGATGTCTTTAGATCCCAGACCAGGCATAAGGAACCTGTGTACAATTCTCGAACCATGGTTGATAAGAAGTAACATTTAAAGACCTAGAAGTCCCACGTTGCCCTGGACGCCAAGGATGAAATCTCTCCCCCTCCCCCCCATGATAACCATACTGAAAGAAAAGTGTATGGCTTCTCTTTTCATCACTGATGGTAACTGAACTCAAATGACTAAATTCTTCTTCACCACATACACTTCTGGGGAGATCACCAACTGCCAAAATATAGGCAATGATTGAAATCCACTAAAATATAAAGTTGGCTACATCTTTCTCACTTCTATACCACAGCAGTGTTTCTCCCTCTTATCAATGCACATGTGACCACCACCACATAGGCATTCACACAACAGTGTACAAAAATACTCCCAGACTTTGATAAGCCCAAGAGCCATTTGCTCTCAGCAAGGAGCACTAGAGCTGTGTTGACAATTAACCCTGTCTCCATGGTGATAAGGAATACCAGGGAGAGAGCCTACATAGACTAGGCCCGCAATTCCTGAAGAGTGTGTTAAGATTGCTTTATAAATGGGTCACGGGGCTGCTGGCAGTGAATGCTCCACAATGAAAAGGTAGTTACTTTCTAATATGGAACCAAGGTTCAACAGGAGTATGTCAAAGAATGAATTCCATTAGCAAGTTCTCTAGAGCAAAAGATTTGGGCAGGGAAAATTGGACATACATGTCCATATTTCATCTCCAAAAGCTTCTTTCCCCAGATTATCCAGGAATACCTAAGAGAAACTAGCAAATACTTCCCTGTCCAGTTCCTGCTAACTCAAGTCCAGGAGGGTCCCAGCCATGCAGTGCCCGTCGCCACAGTCTGATCTGCATGTCCCAGGAGCGGCGACTGTACTTCTTATATTTATTTGGAGTTCTTGGGTGAACACCTGGCTGCCGAGCAGCCCTAGAACAAAGCATGAACACTTGTTAGGTTCTACCGTTTAAGACCACATTACCGTTTAAGACCACCTCCCCAAAAAGTGGTAACCTTTCCCAATGGTTCATCAGGAGCAGATGCCAAAGTGAATGTCCCAAATGCCAGTCCCTTGAAGTAGGGTTAGAGAACTGCTGCCAGCCACCGTTTGGAAAGGAAAGCTGTGGACTCCAAGCCCCTGCTATGTGAAGATAAAGACTTGGTAGATAAACAACTAGCTTTGCTCACTTGGGCACCTGCTGGATAAAGCACTGGTAACCAATGGTGTTTTTCCCATAGTCTATCTGCTTCTGCCTCCTTTGCAAGACAGCCACATCTGTCTCCACGCCAGACCTGCTGAGAGAAGAGATGTAATGCTAAATGAAAATTCTTCATCAGTAATAAACAATATTAGAACACATGAGGTGAATGAGTTGATGTAGTTAAAAATGCCGTGTTTTCAGCATATCCAAATAAACATTTTTTGAGGAATCAAAGCAAATTTTGTTTTTTATTTAAACTGAAAAATTAGCAGCAGCAAATAAGCAAAAGCTAACTATATGGGATGCTACTGATTAGTAAGAAAAGATAAAGAAAAGTGCCTATGAGAAAGTGGTGCAGAGATTGACAGAGAGAGGTCCCAGATGACATTTTGAAATTATTTATCACAAGAGGTTTGTGGGTCTTGTTTCTCAATGGCAGCTCAATATAGGGAAAATTGGTTTTAAATGAGTGCACATCGTAGGGAAAGTGGAAGCTTTATAAAGTAGAATTATTACAAAGAATATAAGACAAGGTAGAAATTATTAGATGGTTAGGGGAACAGAGATGTATATATGTTAATATGAAATCAATATGAACTAGGAAATAAAATAATAATGATAATAAAATAATTAAAATAATAATTCATTATTTATACGCCACTCATCTGGCTGGGTTTCCCCAGTCACTCTGGGCAGCTCCCAACAGAACATTAAAACACAATAAAATATCAAAGATTAAAAACTTCCCTAAACATCTGCTTTCAGATGTCTTCTAAAAGACAGAAAGAAATCAGGATATAAATATGTGAACAAAATAGAATGTGAACAACATGTAAACTATATCAATGGATGTACATATAGGCATAAGTTTGTAGTAAGTGTGTTTATGACATAAAAGCTGCCCCACCCCCCAAATTAAATGCAATTAAAACATCCTCAAAAACATATAGCTGCACTCCTACTAAAACTTACCTGGATTCTGTTGTCCTTTCTGGGCTTGTGCCTACACCCACGCTCACCATTCCAACAGGAAAGACTTGGGATGAAGGCCTGTTCCAGGAAAATGAGAGGCGATATCCAATGGTAGTCATACTCAGAGTAGGCCGACTTACTTAAATCTATTGACTTAAGTGCGTCTCCTTCAAATATGACTTCACTGTTTATCATCTGTTTTGATTACAAAGCATGAAAAATAGGCTAGAGCCAGCTATGGCAAGATCCCACAACCCCCAATCTACCATGGTCACTACTGAAAGGTATTCCTGGGTTAAAACATGCCTCTGAAAATCAGTAGGATCTTTTATTCAGTAAAGTGTACCTTTAAGTATTGTAGTTACTGCCATCTGAAGCGACAAAAGCAGCCTAAAGGGCACACTTTTTCAACTAAGAACTGCGTAACAGGATGTCTCAATGTACAAATAGCAGTTATTTATTGGAAAATGGAGCCGACGCATCAGGATCCCTTTAATAAATGGTTTCTGCAAAAGGTTTCTGTCTCCAGGAACTAATGGTTGAAACTCAATAGCAAGGCAACCATACAACTTTCATAGCCAGTTGAAGATCATTCAAGCAGTCTATAATTAGAGGAGGTACAAGTTGCTGCCAGCTTCATACCCCACTTCATGTACTATATACAAGGTAGTCTCCTTACTGTGTTTATTTCCAACTCAGCAGTCATGAATTGCCCCCAGAAGGAACCTGTTCATTATTGTAATAAGTAAACCCATGACCATGAATGACAAAAGAAAATAAAAATAACAAGGCATAACACAAAAATCTTGGACAGTTTTCAATGCCTTGGAAAACACTAACTATTTTATTCTTTGTTAAGTATCTTATGCTTCTCATAGTAATACTCATTCAAGGGAATGTGGTCGCCTATGGTCCCTCACATTCCTTGCCAGAGACCAACACTTATCTTTTGGAGCACCAGGCAAAATTTTAAAAAATCGAGGCATTTTAACTGATTTAATTTAAACAAATCTTAAATGCTTAAGCAAATGCAGTATCTGCTGCTTTTATCTTTGTTTCATTTGTATTTAAATGCTTTAATATGACCACTAGAGGCTGAAAAAGGTTTCTGGTTCATTCCCTTCAATATTACATTCATCCTGCTCTCAAGCTCCATTCTAAAGCATCAGACATTGACTGAGATCAAACAATTAACCCTCTTCAAAGACATTTGTTACTGATTTGTATCACAAACTGGTGCCTTCATTACACCAGAATTCCCAATTGATTTCCTTTGTGAATCATAATCCACGTAACTAATGAATTGACTCTTATTATTTGGAAAAAGTTTCTTCATTGCTGCTAATAAGGTATATCTTACTTCATCCCATCCCCCACTGAATTGTTACCTACCTGTTTCTTTGAAACACAGGCGACATCCCAGCAGCAAGTGCCCCATGATTGAAAACCAATGACCCATAGTGCAGAGAACTGAGGGCAGATTAAAAGACAGTAATTTGTTATAAATATTCTACAGACGAGACTATTACCAATCCCAAAGACCACCTAGAGGGGAGCAACAGATCTTAGCCTATACAGATATTCTAGCTAACGAGAGTGGACTGAAAACTGTTTCCAGGCTCTTACGCTCTTATCAGTTCTCATCTCATTCATAACACGCAAACAGCAAAACCCCTGCAGCATGAAACCACATTTCCAGAGCAAAGCAAAACATAACTAAAAACCTCTTATGAAACGTGTTACCCCCATTTAGCCTTTCCATACGAGTTCAGAAAATAGGAGGATCAGAGCTGTTACAGTTAATCCCAACATAAAATAAAACTGAGCCCGGGAAATGGGGGGCGGGAGACAAATTGACATGGTCCTGAGCATAGTTTTTTTTAGTGACTGGTCAGCTAAATTTAGAACAATATTTTTAAAAAGGTTGCGCTGCAAGAAAACCATTCATTTATTCCGTGGCTCTGCAGCACTCTTCCTACCAGCTTTAGAAACCAATACTCGGGTGGAAAGAAACAGAACACAACGAAGCAGCCAACAGCAGCTTCCTTCTCGTTACATTTCAGGAGGAAGAAAACTGAGCTTCGCTTTCCACCCACTCCAGAAATCCAGGAACAAGCACCTGTCGCTCACGGGAGCCCACCCATCACCCACAGCACTCCCAAGGTGCATGACTCAAATGGAACAGCAGCGTGTCTGTCAGGTGCAGAGCAGAATCTTCCCGGGATTTAAATCTCCCTCCAGTAGCTCAGAAGGGCGGGGCTTGCAGCACACTCCTGGCCTATCGCGTGGTAGTGGGGGCGGGCCCTCCTTAAGCGATTGGCTGCACGAAAAGCACAAAGGAAGGCGGAAAGCCGCTGCGGAACAATAACAAGCGTGGTAAGCAAAGCCCCGCCTACCACCACTACGCTCTCCCAATAGGTGCTGCGGGGCGCCTTTGACGCCCGTGGCTATGTTGACCAATTGAAAAGCTGTTCAAGCCGTAGCTAGGGCTCCTCTTCCTCCGCGCTTCGGTGGTTGGTTGACGAAGAAGACGGCGTTTGGGATTGGCTGGCTGCTCGGGCGGCAGGTTTAAGTTCCCAGACTGCTGTCCGCTTTCGAGCCTGTCCCTTCAGCCTGGCGAGGGAAGGGCTGGGCCAGCGGCGCGGCTGCGTCGATGGGCAGCAGGTGAGTTTGGGGGAATGGGAGCGGTGCGGTGGGATGAGCTCTGCTCGGAGTGGCGGAGTCTCGAGGGGACGGAGAGATTCCCTTGGTGGGGAGCAGTCGAGGCTGTCTCTGCCTGCGGCTGCAGGTTTTGGCTGCCCTTGTATGTTTGCAGTATGGGGTCAAGGGAGTCTGGAGGAGAGGAGAGCCAGATTTAGGTGTGATAAGGCCCTAAGCTACTGAAGGTACGTAATGGGGCCCTTTATATGTCCAGCTGTCCTTTGTCAACAGCAAATTGTCGCTGTTTTTTGTGTTGAATATATGCTATTATGGTAATTTATGGACCTAATAGGTATCTGAAGCCATTTGCACATAACAAAAGTATGTATTTTATCAACGTAATTGTTGAACTGAAATACAATTAAGAAGTATATTAATAGTGAAATAATTATTAAGCTCTAACTTAAAATGATTTTTTATTCATAACAAACTTAATAATGCAAACACATTGGCATTTGGCAATAACAAAAGTTCCTTTAAAAACACAATTTACAAAGACTCATTATCTAGTCTCCAGAAACATGCTATAACATGAAATAATAATAGCAAACCAGTGGTATTTTAGGGAGCAGGCTAGCAGGCAGGGCCCATTACTTACATCATAGGAGCCTACACAACACAAAACACTGTTGCTGTATGTAGGTTCTATTTTATTTATCTTATATTTTTGAAATGTACACCCAGTTTTTACCCCTTTAAATCTTTTGGGGGCCCCCAAAACAGTGGAGCCCTAAGCTATAGCTTGTTTAGTTTATACGTAAATCTGGCACTGGAGGAAAGAGTCTTCAGACAACCTGAAGAAATGCAGCTTTGTGAGGGATTAAACTTCCATGGACAGATGGGTGCAGGAAACTAGCAGATATTCCTACATGCGTGGGGCCGGGGAAGGGTGAGGTCGCTGGGTGACAAACTGCAACAGGAACACACGGCTGCGTTGGTGATAATTTACCAACAGCAGGATGCTTTCCTCCGCAAACCCATAGGCTTGATTCAAGCCACGTATGACAGAATTGGCTTTAATCATAAATTGCCAGAATTTGACCTTTGCTTAGCTTTGGAAATGGAAGATGCGTACAGTGGTACCCAGGGTTACATACGCTTCAGGTTACAGACTCTGCTAACCCAGAAATACTACCTCAGGTTAAGAACTTTGCTTCAGGATAAGAACAGAAATTGTGTTCCAGTGGCAGCAGGAGGCCCCATTAGCTAAAGTGGTGCTTCAGGTTAAGAACAGTTTCAGGTTAAGAATGGACCTCCGGAACAAATTAAGTACTTAATCCGAGGTACCACTGTATATTGATGGGTTTATAATCTTTTAATTTTATAACCCCTTAATTTGCATGAGGGTTATGTTCCAGGGTTCACTCCCAAAGCCAAAATTGTGTATTGTCAAAACACATTGAGTGAAATGGCAAGTGGGATTGCCAAAGGCTTTTCCTGGATGCCCACCTGCATTCTACTCCTTCCTTATTTATTTTTTTTAATTGCCAAATGCATAAAGCTGAATGCACACAAGTTAAATGTGCATAAATTGCAGGCTTACTATGTATTTTATTTTAATCCTATCACTACCAGTTTTGAGTGGTTCTTTTGAACCTCACTGCTGTCAAGTTTGTTTTATGTATGTATGTATTATGTATTATACATAAAAAAGTTTGTTTTATGTATGTATTATGTATTATGTACTGTTTATATTGCAGTTTTTGTGTTTATGCTGAAAGATAGTCTGGTTATAATAAAAAGCAGGATGTAAATAGTAATTGTTGTTCTCCACAGCAGCTGCTCAGTGGATTCTGTGTCAAACCATGTCTGAGAACTTTCCCCCCATAGAAGCTGATGCTTCTCATTTGTGTCTTGGGTTCCGATCCAGATGCAGGATGATTATGTTCCAGGATGCTGAGTTCTCACTACCCTTTACTCCAGAGGCACCTCTTACCCCAATCTCTAGCCTAACTCAGGGTTTCAGGACCTTTAGCACATTAACCGGGTAAGTTTCTCTTTTCAGAATAGTGAAATGAGGTAGAAAACATTGCATTTTCCCAATTTCCTTAATTTAGCAGCATAATGAGTGGATACAATATGGTTCACGTTAGGTAGTTCCAAATGTGTAATTAATTTTTCAGATGACTATCTCTGCGAAGTATGCATGCACATATAACTTACACACTATCGCTATCCAAACACAATGCAGTCACAGGAAATCATTCTTTAGGTGAGTGTTTGCACAATGAGTCAACAATTTCCATTAATTCCTATGGGAAAATGTGTTCCCCACCACAGAATTTTGAATCCTAAAGGACAAAAAACTCTGAAACCTTGCAAAAGGCAAACAAGGAAGGAAAAACGCTTTGTTTGTCCAGTCTCTTCTCCCACTATTGTCTCTGGTAAAATGGCCAGTGGGGACCAGCAAAACACAAGGCTCGTTTAAGGCTTTATTTGTTTACAGTACTACACACTGTTCTGTTTGGAAATCTGAATCTGCAGTATGTATAGTAAGGTTTGAGTATTAACATGAACATAAGTGAATTTTTGTATAGCGGGACCTGCATTTATTATTGTAAGACTGGGGTTTGAAAAGGAGAGGGCTAAATCAGTTGAACTGCTGGAAATTTAATAGCCTTGGCAAGTATGTCATTTGTTAGGGAAATAACAGGTAAATAGGCTACAGCCCAAACAACTATGATTATTTGAAAGCTGTGGTAAAGGCATAAAAACAAATGTCAATTTTCATCTCTTGTACTTTGGGTGACTGTCTTTTTCATGGATACTGGTGAAATAATTACAGTGGTACCTCGGGTTAAGTACTTAATTCGTTCCAGAGGTCCGTTCTTAACCTGAAACTGTTCTTAACCTGAAGCACCACTTTAGCTAATGGGGCCTCCCGCTGCTGCTGCCGCACCGCCAGAGCACGATTTCTGTTCTCATCCTGAAGCAAAGTTCTTAACCTGAGGTAGTATTTCTGGGTTAGCAGAGTCTGTAACCTGAAGCGCATGTAACCCGAGGTACCACTGTATTGAGAACTGACAGCATAACCATATTGCATTTGACCTAGTTTGTATTTAGTGCTGAGCAGCATACATTGTGATTTTCTCCCCCTTCCATAATTAAATCTGGCTTGTGCTAATTAGTCACAATTTTTCTTTCATTATTTATAAAATATTACTTGCATTGAAACATGTTATTTTGCTCTGTACATGAAAAGTACAAATGGTGACGATGACACACACTGGCAATGTGGAGAAAATTCATGCAACAGAACAATGCACTTGTTCTGTTAGCGCAACAGAACACACACACACACACCTTCTTATTTGTGTGTGCCCCACACCATCCCCAAATTTGCCTTGGAGGTTTGGGTGGGGGACCTGGACCAGAATTAGGGGGCATATGAGGAAAGGAAGAGGGGAAGTTCCATTGAGTCCTTGTGTTGACAGAATGAGTGCATCGAATACCACCCAAAATATTCATAGCAAAGCAATAGTACATAAAATCACAGGTGATAGCCACTTAAATAAAGTGGTTGCAATTAATCAAAACACAGCAGCTAATTCTAAAGCAGATCATGATAAAAATTAGATCAAAAAGCAGATCATAATAAAAACAACTTAAGTGCTCTCTAAATGGTGTCCCTATGGCAGTGTTGTAGTGCTGGAGCCAGACTGCAGCTGCAAACTTAACCCAGTTACCTGGAATTAAGCCTCAATGAGTTCAATAGGACTTACTTTTGAGTAGACATGGTTAAGCTCCTGTTGGAAGTTGGCAAATGTGGCTTAAGGTAGTCAGTGAGTCTTAAATGCATCTCGCTTAATCTAAATCCTAATCTGACTTCAGTCCTTAGTAATGATTTCTCTGGTGCAGCATTCTAAGGTGGTTGTCATCCCCTGATCATGTGTAGTAGAAGCTGATGAAATGGCAACTGAATGCAATTTGTCTACTAACTGTGATAACTGTCTTAGGAGAGAAGCACACAGACTAGAAAACACTCACAAACTTTATATTTCAATCAGAAATTCAGTCTTTTATGTCCTGTATTACAGTGGTGCCTCGCAAGACGAAAATAATTCGTTCCGCGAGTTTTGTCGTCTTGCAATGTTTTTCGTCTTGCGAAGCACGGTGTCGGGAAAGTTTTGGAAAAGCTTCAAAAATCACCAAAGTCTTCAAAAACCTAAAAAAAGGCTACCACACCGTATGCTATGAGTTGCTCCTCGAAGTCAAGTCGCAACTGTATTAACGGTGTTAAGAAAAAGGAAACAAACTTGCAAGACGTTTCCGTCTTGCGAAGCAAGCCCATAGGGAAAATCGTCTTGCGAAGCAGCTCAAAAAACAAAAAACCCTTTCGTCTTGCGAGTTTTCCGTCTTGCGAGGTACCACTGTAATTTGTGTAAGATATGTGTGTTTCTCCCAAGCATTCCTGTGACTTTGTTCATGCAGGGATACACCAAGACGCTGCCTAGATCTGTCCAATCTCAGCAATGGTGAAGAGGAAACTGCCTTCAACTTCAGCCAGTCCCCAGGTACATTGGAAACTGGTAATAGTTGTTGCCAGCAGCACAATTCACTGCATGCTGCTGCTTGTCTTTATTCCTGTAGCTCTGTTCAAATGGCTAATGTGCTAGGGCATTTATAAT